TAACACATACTAGAATGTCCAGTTAAAATTTAGTAATTAATTAGATATTTTATATAATTGAAAAAACAATATTTTCAAAGTTCAAATTTTCCCAATAACATTCCGCATCGCATTCCACAAAAAATTGTTTTATTTGAGTTACCCAGTTATACTCGAGACGCGAGTGACCATTTGATTCCAGTTGTCTTAATCTATTTAAACATATTTTTGGTAATCTGTCTTCTGTCATTTTCAATATTTTCTCTAAAAGGGAGAGTGCTATCTTAAATACCGAGTACGACAGTGGTACTTTCCCCGTCTCGATCCTAACTGCGTAACCCGGGGTCGTCGTTGGGAGACCCAGAACTCTTTTCCAAAATATAAAATAATACGCTAAGAACAGTACTATAAAATAGTGTATCTTTCGCAAACCAAGAATCTGATCTAGCTGCTGACAATGTATTAAAAGCAGCGCTTACGGCCATGTTACATGCCTTTAAAGTTTCCTCTGAATTTTCTCGAAAAATGCCCGAATTTAAAAAATAACAAACTAAATATTTGAACTTTTTAACCACTTCAATATTTCTACTCTCGTATTTAAAGGTAGGACATTTTCTCGGACCACCTTTTTCAAATATTATGATTTTAGATTTTTCTTCATTCGCAATTAAGTCGTTTTCTTTACAGTACAAATATAAGATTCACAATTTTCGTTGTAAATCCATTATGGATTCTGCTAAAATTACTAAATCGTCATCATAAGTAAGTTAAGTTTAATTAACTTCTTATTTATTAATATTATTATTATTACTGTTATCATTATTTTATTAATTATAAACAATTTATAATTAAGGTAAGGGAAATTATTACTTAAAACTACAATAAGCGTTTTGAATTCAAATTGAATTTCGCGCGTTACCGGCGGTGAGCTCGTTGCCGGCGGTGAGCTCACAGTAGTTCAAGTCAACCGCCACACGCTACACTGAGTGTCGAGCGCGTAGTGGGGGAACCGCTTGGTGGGGAGAGAGCCCTACGAGGGTAGCTGGTCCACGGTAGAGAGCTCATTCAGCTCATAGCAGTGGAGTTAGCAGGACACCATGGAAACAAGCAGCCGGTGCTACCACTGCGTCGTGAGGATGGTGTCGGAGTATAACGTAAGTAATATAATATAATTAATAAAATATAGTAAAATATAATATAATTAATATAATATAGTAAAATATAATATAATTAATATAATATAAATTCATTAGTTGCAGAATGAAGGTAACGAGGTGCCTTTTCCGACGACTCCTTCAGGATCTCCACCAAGGTATCCGTGGCATCGTCCAGACTCACTTCCATGACCAGAGCCCAGGGTGGAGATGTCAAAGGCCAGGACGCAGTCTCCTAAGCCCAGGATGGAGACGACACTACCGCTACTCCGGGCGCAGAGACGTCGCCGTCATCACCAGCGTGACACTAGGCGTATTATAGTTAATATTAAAGTTAAGGTTAATATTCATAATAATATTTATACATAAAGTATGTATTTATTCTGCGCATGCGCGAATTGGTGGGGAAAAATTTAAGAGTGGGGGATGCGTGATAGGTTGGAGTGGGGTAAATAGTCTAGTGCGCATGCGTGAAAGGTTGGAGTGGGGGTTAAATGGTCTAGTGCGCATGCGTGAAAGGTTGGAGTTGGGGTAAATGGTCTAGTGCGCATGCGTGAAAAGTTAGAGTGGGGGTAAATGGTCTAGTGCGCATGCGTGAAAGGTAAGAGTGGGGATTTCGGGGTATATATTCAGGGATTTTGGCGAGTTTAGTCAGTAGCTGTTCTGTTTACAGGTTCAGCGGTTCCAACAGCAGCAGCAGCAGATTCCCATTGCCACTACTAACTGTCTTTTTTGTTACATTTATTGTTATATTTACTGTGTATATTGCATTTACTTTGTATTCATTTTTAGGTTAAGTTCTTTAGTTTGTAAGTTCGTTTTGTTTAGTATAAGTATTTTAGTTTGTAAGTGTGTTCTTTTTTAGCTTGTAAGTGTGTTTTTTTGTTAGTTTGTAAGTGTGTTCTTTTTAGTTTGTAAGTGTGTTAGCTTGTAAATGTGTTTCTTTTGATTTCCGGTGCAGAGATGAAGCGGAAGGCGACGACCACCGATGGACCATCACGTAAGTATCCGAATTACGGTACTATTCTTGACGAGAGTGACGTCACTGTTACTCTCATTAAAGAAGCCCTTGAGTTGATACCTTATTTAAGTAACGTAAATGAAAGACGGTCTTTTATCGAACGATGGGTTGTAGAATGCTCACAACATGAAAACGTGTTATCGAGCATTCTTAAATCGATGTACTTCACACATCAAAAGCAAAGAGTCTTACAGTTTAAGCAATCAACATGGCTTAAACCATACATGGACTATAATACGATGATGCGAACCAACGCCAAAAATGAGTTCGAGAAAAATTTGTTCAAGCTCATGAACAACGCTGTGTACGGTAAAACAATGGAAAATGTCCGTAAACATGTCGACATTTAGCTTGTCACCAAATTGTTTGGCCGCTATGGAGCTGAAGCCCTTATTTCTCGACCCAGCTTCCATAGTCGAGTGATATTCGACGAAAATCTGGTTGCCATTGAACTGCGTAAAACCGAGGTACTACTCAACAAACCGATCTATGTGGGGTTAAGTGTGCTTGATGTATCCAAAACGCTTATTTACGATTTTCACTACGGGTATATGTTAAAAAAATACGGTGACAATTGTAAACTGATGTATACCGATACAGACAGTCTAATCTATGAAATTAAATGTAAAGATGTCTACAATGACATGAAAAATGACATCCAAAAGTTCGATACGTCAGACTATCCCGCAAACAACGTGTACGGCATTCCGCAAGCCAATAAAAAGATTCTCAGTCTAATGAAAGATGAATGTAACGGCAAGATCGTTACCGAATTTGTTGGCTTGCGGAGTAAGATGTACAGCGTACGGGTTGAAGGTCAAGATTTTATTAAAAAAGCTAAAGGCATTAAATCCGGCGTTGTGAAAAAATCGATTCACTTTGATGATTATGTAAAATGTCTGCGAGATTTTGACATTCGAACTCGAACCCAGTATAATATAAGATCGCGACTACACAACCTGGAGACTGTAAGACAGGTAAAAGTAGCTTTAAGTCCGCAAGACGACAAACGGTATTTGTTACCGGGTAGCACCGACACTCTACCGTGGGGACATTATGCGATCCCCACAATCGACGAACGATTTTGTAAAACATGATTGTAAAAAAATAAAATGTTTGTTAATAAATAATGCAATTATATTCAATTTCCATGTGTTTTTATTTAAAAAATCTTTCCATATATACATTATAACATATGATTAAAACTTATATTAATGTAATATAATTTAAATGTGCAAATCGCCCCCAGTAACTTAACGCAAATGCCAATCAGCCAGCAAAGCAATCAAAGATTAATGTTAGCGTAGAATATCTTTATAAATCAAAACTACTTCCAACAACAGACCTTTTCAATGCCAGTGCCAACTGATTTAATATTGATTCATTATTGATTCATTGTTGATTTATTATTGATTCATTGTTGATTCATTGTTGACTCATTATTGATTCATTATTGATTCATTGTTGATTCATTGTTGATTCATTATTGATTCATTGTTAATTCATTATTGATTCATAGTTGATTCATTATTGATTTATTATTGATTCATTATTGATTTATTGTTGATTCATTATTGATTCATTATTTATTCATTATTGATTCATTATTGATTCATTAATGATTCATTATTGATTTAATGTTAATTAAATTTGGCACTGGCAGTGTAAAGGTCTGTTGTTGGAAGCAGTTTTGATTTTTTAGAGAGGTTCTACGCTAACATTAATCTTTGATTGGTTTGCTGGTTGATTGACATTTGCGTTAAGTTACTGGGGACGATTTGCGAATAATAGATTATACATTTGCTTTATCTTCCCACGTATTGTGAGAATTATCAAAGCCAAGCCATTTGAAAAGAACTTTGTTTCCACGTGTCTTGAGAATTTTTTCCACAAGATAAATATCTGAATATTTTACTTTAAGAAGTTCCTCTTTATAAAATCCTCCGCTGATGGGTTGGTCCTGGTAATCCTTAAGCTTGTAAGTCACTGGTTTAGTTGATACAACTTGATCCACGATGAATATTTCTGTTGTATAATTGGGTGTATATCCTTTCTCGAAAACATTTTTATATTTGCTTACTCGAACTTTGTCGCCAATTTTATACTTTGGTCGTCTTAAAGCAATTTTTCTCAACTTCATAAATCGTTCTTTTAAAATTTCAACGTCTTCTGAAGTAACATCTTTAGGCTTCATTCCGATTGTTCTATGTTTTGTATCATTATAGTTGGAAATAAAAGTAGGCAATATATCATACCATTTATAATTTCCTCGTAAACTAAATTGCATCCACATTTTTCTTTTTAGTGTTCGATTAAACCGTTCAACAATAGAAGCCTTCATATTACTGTATGTTGAGTAAAAATTTATTTTACGCTTTTTCATTAATGCTTCAAATTGTGAGTTATAGAATTCTTTTTCTTTGTCACTATGCAAGTTTTTTGGTATGCGTTTTTTAGCAAATATAGATTGCATTGCATGATAAACATCTTTTCCACTTTTACTTTTTACTGGAACAGCCCAAGCATATTTCGAAAATATGTCTATAACTGTTAGTAAATACTTGAAACCTTTGTTTATTTTTGAATAAGGTATCATTTCTACTAAATCTGCTTGCCATGTCTCATCAATATCTAGCATTTTAACTCGCCGTCGAGGATAATTTTTTCTATCCTGAGTATGAAGTTCATTCACTACTGTTAAATTTTTTTTGTTCATTCTCGAGAGCACTTAAGCGAGTATCCAATTCACTAATAATTTCAGCTGTTCGATAAGATAAATCTTGATTTATATCTTTTTCAAAATTTTTTATTTTTTCTGTAATAGAGTCTTCAAGAACTTTTAGAAATTAGTTGTTATTGTCCACCTCTGATCTAAGTGAGGCACTAGCTTCATACAATAAACGCACTTCGTGTTTTATCATATGTCGTACAAGTTTTAAATTGACAGCGTCGTTTTCTTCTTCAGCGTTAGCAAGATTACAGAGTTTTCTTCCTTCAACGTCAAAGTTACCTTGAGAATTAAGTTTAAAACCAACTCCAGGAGGCCCTCGTCTTGCTTCTTGTAGTTCCTTAATGATAAACATAATTTCATTATTGTGACTAGGATTTCCAGCATCTTGAGAAGCCATTAATAGTCTAAGACGGTCAACCAACTCATTCGGATCATCCCAATAGATATATCCTCGTTGAAAATTTCTGTTTGTAATAATAAATTTAGGTAATGAACTACCGCTTACAGATGGCTGTTTGGTAGGTGTTCGAGGGAAGAATTGAGATATAAAATTCAAATACTTGTAACAATTATCTGTACGTATAGATTTAGAGGAACTGTACTTCTTTTTGTGTGCATTAGTAGCAATAAGAATCTCTTTATAGTTCATTTCATCAGCTTCACTTATAAACGATCTGGTAGGTTTACTTTTGAATAAAAGTTCAAGTAATCCAGGTGTTTGAAGATATCGTTTATCACTAATTTTTACAAACTGATCTTCAAGAGTTATTGGTGAATCACCAATCATAAGTGATCCATCACTTAGCTTACGTATGCCGTATGTTGAATCTAAACATTGATTTCTATTATGATTTAAAAAGTATAGAAATTTATTACTTATTTTATCATCATCTGGAGATTTTTCAGTTTCACTTTCATAGTTTATGCTATCATCCTCCTTCTGCTCTTTCTTTCCAACCTTAACATTTTCAATCTTGACATTTTCAATCTTGACATTTTAATGTTCACTGTCTGTCAAGTTGATAATTTTTTGTAAGGGTTGAATTATCGGTTTGAAAGTTTCATTCAACACATTTTCAGCATCTTCTTTTCCCAATTTTAACATACGATGTTTTCTTCTAATTGCCTCACTAGCTTTAGCAATTTGATGAAGATATTCTTTTTCTTTATGAAACATGTTATTATTACAAGGTTTCATATTGAACTAACAATATTTTAGAGATGATCTTATATTTATAGTGTTACAAAGCTATCAAATCCTTTTCTATATCTTCCATCATTTAAATCAGAATCCTTATCAATTACTACAAATCCATACTTGTCTGAATTCCAACATGTGGCACATAGTTCTCGAAATTGATTAAATGTCATGTCAGTATTAACGTGGTCATCATAAACATGCATTAAATTTTTCTCATCTTGACGAAAAAGAACTAGTAAATTAACATTATCACGTACTAAATGTTTAGGAATGCGGGCATAGGTTTGACAAAGATAAAAAGAATCAACATCAACATGTCTACCCATGCAAAAGAATGCCCTTACATTATCTTGCTTCTCGCAAGCAATATCATCAAATATAAATATTGAATTCCGTTTTGCATCTTTAGGAGTAATGACTTCTTCATGCTCACTAAATGGTAAATACTCTACTCCTTCAACATTACTTACAACTTTTTCCAAGAATTTATACTTTGGTTGGTGTAGAGACTTTGAGTACAAGTAAATATTATTAAATCTAAGACCATTAGGATGTAAAATTAAAGAAAGCAGTACATTTGTCTTTCCAGAATTTGATGGTCCACAAAAAATAGCTCGAATACTACCGGAAAACAAACTACCATGACGCTTTACTTTCTTGTCTTGTTGTTCAACAATCGAGTCTAGATTGACGACTGGCAGCTTGTGAAGTTGTTCCTTGAACCGCATCCTGATTTAGACTGCCGCTGAAGGTATAAATACAGCGCTTATATAGCTCACAAGTCATTCTAATTTTAACTTTCACAGAGTAAGGTATGATTATATATCATGACTCTCGAGGAAAAGGTTTAATTAATAAACTTATAAACAATTTGCCATTTGAATTACATTTGCCGGGTTATCAATATTGTGGACCGGGCACAAAGTTAGCAAAACGTCTAGACCGAGGTGATCCAGGTGTTAATCCATTAGACACCGCTTGTAAAGAGCACGATATTGCTTACTCGAAAAATTGAGAAAACGTTGAAGAAAGAAACGCTGCTGATAGAGTATTAGCTGACAAAGCGTGGCAACGTGTATTTGCTCCAGACGCACGATATAGTGAAAGAGCTGCAGCTTACGCAATAACAAACGCTGTGAAAGCAAAATCAAAATTTGGAATGGGAGTAAAGAAGAAGACAAAATCAAAAAAACGAGTAAATCTTAGGAAAATTGTGGATGTTGCAAGAAAATCAATAATTCCTGGTAATGATGCTCGATCAACAATAAAGTCAGCTATCGAAACAGCTCGAAAAGCTGTAAGGAATGCAGGTGGTAGAGAAAAAGTTTTAACACCTCGTATTCTACCTGTGCCATCAAAAGTTGGTGGTCTGTTACCATTAATTCCAATTTTTGCTGGTCTAAGTGCACTTGGAGCGCTTACTGGGGAAGCTGCTGGAGTAGCAAAAGCTGTTAATGATGCAAGTGCAGCAAAAGAGCAGTTGAAGGAAGCTCAGCGTCACAATAGAGAGTTGGAAGCAGTGGCACTTGGCAGAGGTCTACATTTAAAACCATACCGACAAGGTTTGGGACTTCATTTGAAACCATATGTTAAAGGACAAGGTATTAAGAGACGATGTACAAAAAAAAAGTTTAAAGCTGCCTCAACGAGCACTTACAGATCTAGATTTACTTTAATATGCTAAAGAAATTAAAATTTCTTATTTTCGAGGAGTTCTTATGCGAAATGAACTACCTATAAGAGGTCCTCGAAAAAATGAATCAGCCATTATTAATTTAGATGATAAAGATGGTTCTGGAACTCATTAGGTTGCATATAAAACAGTTAATAATAAAGCTGTATACTTTGATAGTTTTGGTAATCTTCAACCACCCTATGAACTTGTCAATTACTTAGGATACAATACTTTAATACAGTATAATCATCAAAATTATCAAGATTATAATAGCTTTAATTGTGGTCATTTATGTCTAAAATTCTTATGTGGACAGCTTGAAAGAACTCAAAAATATATTCTATATAAGTGATTGTAAGTCATTCCACCTAATCAGTTTATAAAAAGTCATCAACATGGAAGAATCTTTTACTCTGACTATCTCAGGCAATTCATCTGTCCTGGAGGCAGAATATTTTCCTCCGATAGAATTATTATCTAACAAAAATTATGTACTTGGCTTAGTTGAATTAATAACCTTCAATTCAATTCCTAATATCGATCAAGGTAAAAATAAATTTTATATTAGTGATAAAGTGATTACTATACCCCCTGGAAGCTATGAAATAGAAGATATATAAAAATATATTCAAAACTCTATTGAAAATGGATCTGAAATTGTAAGAATCAAACCTAAGAATAATACTTTACGTAGTGAAATAACAAGCAGCCTTGAAGTGAGTTTTGAACAAAACGATTCAATTGGTAAATTATTAGGATTTACTCCATGGATATTGACAGCTACTAAGGCTCATACGTCAGATGTACCAGTAGCCATTCTTAAGGTAAATGCTATCAGAATTGAATGTAACATTACTACTGGTGCATACATAAATAATAAAAAGGTACACACAATTCACCAATTTTTTCCAATTGTACCAGCTGGATATAAGATAGTGGAAGTTCCTTCTCACGTCATTTACCTTCCAATCGCCGTGAAGACAATACATAATATTCAAGTAAGAATCGTTGATCAAGACAAAGATTTAATAAACTTTAGAGGTGAAACTATAACAATTTGATTACACGTTAAATCAACGTAATGGGAATTGTATTTCATAGAAAAACTGGTGGAAGCTATATAAAAGAGTTGCCATGTCAGAAGTCATTCATTCATCAATCAGTTTGCAAGAGACTAACATCTCAGAACATACTATTTCTGAAGCAGCTCGGCCTAAGAGTTTATCAAGAAAACAAGGGAAAAAATTGATTTTTCACATACTTTTTATTTGTTGTTGTAACAAAAATGGAAGAAATTTTAAACATTCTAAGTCCAGTTAAATTTGATAATTCTGTGGCACACTATGAGATTCATGCACATCAACCATACGTGTCATCAGCATTTAATAATAGTGACGAGATTCGAATTGCAGTTCAACACCAAGACTTGTACATTCTTCCCTCTAAAAGTACTTTACACGTCACTGGCAGAATTGTTAAGCCAAACAATACGCTTGTAACTAATACAAAGTTAATTAGCAATGGTATTTCCTACCTGTTTAATGAGATTCGTTATGAATTAAATGGTGTTGAAATTGATCGCTCTAAAAATGTTGGTATTACAACCACAATGAAAAATATAATTTCTCAAACACCTAATCAAATGATTTACTCTGTAAATGCTGGTTATCTACCTTATGATGATGATAGTAGAGTAACAAATGATGCTGGATATTTTGATGTAAATATTTCACTAAGTATGATTATTGGTTTTGCTAAAGATTATCGAAAGATTGTTGTAAATGCAAAACATGAACTTATTTTAACAAGATCTCGTACTGATCTCAATGCTGTAGTAAACATTAGAGCAGCTGAGCGTGAAGAATTTAAAATTATAATTAACAAAGTTGAATGGTTAATTCCATATTTAATGGTAAATGATCGCCAAAAAATTGAATTATTAAAATTCATTGAAAAAGACTCACTTATAACAATGAGTTTTAGATCATGGGATTTGTATGAGTATCCTATGATTCCTGCCACTCAAAAGCACGTGTGGACTGTAAAAACTTCAATACAAGTTGAAAAACCTCGATATGTTAGTCTTGGTTTTCAAAAAAATCGAAAAGAAGATCAAGGAAGGTATGCAAATTTATTTGATGCCTGTAATCTTCTCAATGTTAAACTTTTCTTAAACTCACAGTACTATCCTTATGGAAATTTAAATTTAAATTTTACTCAAAACAAATTTTCCATACTATATGAAATGTATTGTAATTTTCAACCATCCTACTATGGAAAAGAATCTAAACCTTTATTAACTAGAAATAACTTTAAAGATTATGCACCATTGGCTGTTATTGATTGCTCAAAACAAAACGAATTTCTAAAACAAGCATCTGTAGATGTGCGATTGGAATTTGAAGCAAATGAAAATTTTCTAGCCAATACAGCTGCATATTGCCTTATAATTCACGACCGCATTATACAGTATACACCAATCAGCGGTGTTGTTAAAAAAGTATCGTGATTGGTAGAAATAATGACCAATCATAGACGACATCAGTAGTGGGGGTAATTGGAGTGATGAGGGGAGGCTATAAAGAGAACGTCTCTCTAAGGCTTGAGACATTATTCTATTTCAGATACCATGGCGTACGTCATAGATATTCAGTGCTTCAAAAAACCTTACAACGAGTTTGTCATCAAAGAGTTGGCGATTCTACCACTTCAACAAGATGCTCATCCATTAGTCTACCTCCTCGAGCCGCCATATGCCTGGAGCCGATTACCTGCAAGATACAAATGTGAGAATCGATGGCTTACAAATAATTATCATGGTATCGATTGGGCTGCTGGTGACATTCCTTATGAAGAATTACAACCTATAATAAAAGAAGAGTTAATAGGTACACCTACTGTTTATGTAAAAGGTTTAGAAAAACAAAAATGGTTGGAAAAATATACATTTAATGTGTTTAACTTTGATGATTTTAAATGTCCGTCGCTAAAAAGTTTAAGTGCAGATAGTTCATCTACATGCATAAATCACACACGTAGCTTTAGCAATTGTGCTGTTAAAAATGTATGTAATCTACGAAATTGGTTGATACAACCGTCAAATGTACTACGAAATAATATAGAAAATACTGATGAAGTTGACAATGATTGTACATTGAAAGATTTTTATAATGATTGTGAAAGTTTCATATTTAATGAATAAATGTATTAAATGCATTACGAATGTTTACATTAATTAACCCTTCCACATCCTATTATCTTTATTACATATGCGTGAAACTATTAAACATGTTAAAACTAGTTTAGACTTGTCTTATGACGT